CCACGGACCTCCCTAGCTTTTTGGGACCTTCATGCTCCCCTGAGAGGATAGGGAGACTCCAAAAAGACACAGCTGCTCTATTCTAGTTAAGCACATACTGGCCTCCAATATGGAAGATATCAGGACCTAGGTAGGAACACTAAGAATTGTTCAGTCACACAGGAAAGACTGCGATTCCATTTCCTGATGCAAAAATAAACCACCAAATTTGCTGCTGAGGACTGACTCCCCTGAAGAAGCAGTGACTGAAGGATAACTCTGTGATACTGCACCTCATATTCTTCACAGTAAAATTACTGTGATATGAGCATGGAATAATTATGATGCATTTTGCATTTTGTAATTGCATTTTGCAATTATGGTGCATTTTGCATGTTGTATAACATGGGTCATGTGAGATATCTTTGGAAAAATTTTGCTGAATACAATTATCCTATTTATATGCATGTATCGTTTTTGTATCTGAAGATATTAATATTGACTGAGGGTCTGTATTTCTAATGTACTTACTCTGGAAAACACCTATTTGCTATGTCTAGACTGCAGACTTCTTTTGGAAGAATCTTTTCTCAGAAGAGATCTTCCAAAAAAACTTCTTGCACAAGAGAGCGTCCATACTGCAAAAGAGCATTGAAAAAGTGAATTCAGTGTGGTTGCTATCTCGCATTTAAGCTGGGATTATTATGGACGGAGTGGCCACCAGGGCACCTGTGCTTTTTCCTCTTTCTTCTTCTTTCGAAAGAACTCCCTCTTCCCCATCCACAAACGTGTTTTTCTGAAAGAGCTCTTTTGGAAAAAGGCTTCTTCCTCATAGAAAAAGGATTATCAATGATGATGAAGCTAGATAGCTCTAATGGCTCATCAACAAGAAAAATGGGTTATAGAAAAGCTAAGGTATTCCTGTAAACATTTCAGCCAGCCTATATGTAATGGCTGCTATGATTCACCAAGGGTTAAAGAGAAGCTAGATAATTTCATAGAGGTTAGGTCCATAAAAGGCTATTAGCCAGGAGATAAAATGGTGTCCTTGGCCTCTGTTTGTCAGATGCTGGAGAGAGATGGCAGGAGACAAATCGCTTGATCATTGTCTTCGGTCCACCCTCTCTGGGGCACTGGTGCTGGCCACTGTCTGTAGACAGGATACTGGGCTAGAATGACCTTTGGTCTGACCCAGTACGGCCGTTCTTATGGCATGTAACCAGACTGAATGATAAAGAGCTCCATTTTTAGTACCTGTACTTTTCCACAAAACTAGGCTGGGAACTGTTTGAGACAAAGGGTTCCCACCACCTGCTAAAGCTATAAAGGTGGGGTGTGATATTATCTTGGGACCTCACTCCTCACACATGGACGCTCCTGGAAACACTTCAGGAACAAAGACTGAACTGGAGGCAGTGCTGGTCCCAAGCTAAAAGGATTTCTAACCTGTGTGTAGAAATTTGGGGGGTTCCTAGTATTATCAGACAGGTTGAGAAATTGCTAATTCATATCCAATCTTTTTAGCACGTAGGTTTGCTTATTTACTAGGTAACCTGCTTTGATCTGTTTGGTGTCACTTATGATCACTTAAAATCCATTTTTTAAAATTAATAAACTTGTTTTTTGTTTTATCTAAACCGGCGTGCCTTTGCGTGAAGTGTCTGATGAAAAATCTCGGCTTGGTTAACACAGGCTCGTCTTTTCCACATCAAAGGGAAAACAAACAATTTATGAGGTTATGTTGTATAGATCCCTTTGCAGTGCAAGACAATATAATTTTGGGCTTACATTTGAATGGGAATTGTGTGCCTGGGGCACTGGGGAAATTGGATTATGTCTGCTGTTTGCACTCAGGTAACTCAGTTTGGGTGAATGGTGTCACCTGCTGTTGTGTTGGGTGGTAACAGGATGAGGTGAGGCTGGCTATGTCTCCAAGCAAGCAATGTGAAAACAGGGCCAACCCAGATGTATTTCTTAAGAGGAGTGCAGTGGTTCTCACAGATTCCAAACTTCCCTGGGGGTGACAATCTATCATATTACATGTGACAGAATCTAATATCCAGAGGAATCTTGAACTGGTTATCAAAACCAGTTCAATTAGTTCAGCATAGACCTGCTGCTCTATGCTATTAGCCATCTAACTCCAAGCTTGTAGCCCAGAAGCTATGGCAGAAACAAACAGAGAGAAAAACTGGATAAATCTCTATCTCCTGATAGATTTTCTTTATGTTGCTTCCTTGGCTGTGGTCATCCAGGCCTGCTCACTAACTGCCTCTCAGCCACAAGAGAGCTCTCTGGACTCTCTGACTAAAACTGGTCTTCTCCATCAATAGAGAAAAAGGACTTTAATTATAAGAGGATTTTGATTTCTACCATATTAATTCATTTTCTCTGAGAAAGAGAGTCTGGAATCCTGCCCAGGTTCTGTCGTTGATAAGCATTTCTTATAATTGTTTTAGTAGTGCTTGAGGCTATGGAAGCTTCCACTAGAGAGAGAAGGCTGGTGCAAGGAGGCATTACCACTAGTCATAAATTGCTTAGCAACTGCTATGAAGCAGAATCACCTGCAAGGGAGCTAAGAGGAACAACTGCTAGCTCTGGAGTAAGGATCCCCTTGGTAGAAAGTGCATTTACAAATACAATACCAACCTTTTTTATAAGAAAAGCATCATGATTAAAGTCACTTTCCTTTATCAATGGAGAACGCCAACTTGGTAACAGCAAATCTCTCATACCAAATCTCTTAAAACTGAATAGTAATTAGAAACAGAAGCATTTTCCCATTCCTTTGCAACTAAACTATTTCAAATGAGCTGTCTGAAGGATAAATGCTATATATGATTAGACCATCCAAGGAAAAGTACACTGAGATATTAGCTTATAAATAGAAGTGAATGTCAAAAACATTGTGCTGGATATAGTATAAAGAGTTTAATTTAAATATAGAGGCTGGTGGCATTCTTCAGAAGTAAAAAATAATGTCAAATTCCCTTTCACACAATAAATATTTGTGCTATATATCATGATCAGCTTCTTGATTGCCACTGGGTATTGAACCAATTGCATTAATGTAGGACCTAAACTTCTACAGCATGAGGTGAAGGAATAAATTTGGCTTTGGATGATAGTTGGGTACATTCATATCTTCACTGGACCAAGTATAGATGGAGAAGCATAACACATATTTACACATAGAAATACGGATAGGTGAATGTCCAACAGGTGCTTCACAGGTGTTTCACTAGCTGACTCCTATAGCCCTGTATGGCAGCTGACAAACCTTGAAACTGCTGCAGTAATTTAAGATCACTTGTACTTTGCAAATAATTAGAAGTGGGTTCAGTCTGTGGAATATTGAAGAATTAAAAATGACTGCATTACTTAATTATTTAATAAAGTTGCCTAAATGGAGTCACTAAAATCGTTACAGATTTCAATAGTCCTTTTAAATTACTCTCAACATTCCTTGCATTCCTGTGGCCAATCCCAATTTTGTTTTCAAAATCTAACAAATGGATCTCTACAATTTGAGAATGACTGTCTTCCTTCTATTTCATACAGAAAAGAACTGTGATAACTCACGGTATGTCTACACTACCACCCTAGTTTGAACTAGGGTGGTTAATGTAGGCAACCGGAGTTTAAAATGAAGCCCGGGATTTAAATATCCCAGGCTTCATTTGCATCTTACCGGGCGCTGCCATTTTTAAAGCCCCGGTAGTTCGGACTCCGTGCCCGTGGCTACATGCAGCACGGAGTAGGTAGTTCGGATTAGGCTCTCTGATCCGAACTACCGTTACTTGAGGTGTACCGGTAATTCGGATTAGAGAGCCTAATCCAAACTACCTACTCCGTGCCGCATGTAGCCGCGGGCATGGAGTCTGAACTACCGGGGCTTTAAAAATGGTGGCGCCTGGTAAGATGCAAATGAAGCCCGGGATATTTAAATCCCGGGCTTCATTTGCAACTTCGGTTGCCTACATTAACCACCCTAGTTCGAACTAGGGTGGTAGTGTAGACATACCCTCAGTGTCATTATTACTGTGGACCTTCTGTAAAACACAGACTTTATTACTGATGAAAAGAGACTGACGGAAAGTTCTGGAGACTTAAGTTCACTCTATTCACAGAACATGGACAGCAGCAGAGGCAACAGCAATGAAAGCTTCCTCATACTGGTTTATCACTATATTTTAAACTGAGACCTGAGCTCTGCAAGCCCAAGTCAGCTGACCTAGGACAGCCATGAGATCCTTATATAGATGTACCCTAAGAAGCTGAGGTCCTTTTCAAAGTCCTGCTTTTCAGAATACAGTGCACAATCTTTTCAGTGTGTCCTCTGTTCTTTGTTGCTATAGTTGTATGACCTTGCATTAAAGTTTATGTTGTTTGTTTTCAACCAGCTAGCCAAGAAAAACTGGTCACACTGAGGAAAGTAACCTGTCCTCGTCATTATACTGTATACCTCTCTACTAAGCTGTGTGTTATTTGCAAACATGACTAGATGGTAGTCCAGTGTCTGTATCTATTTGATTACTGTTCCTTCTCCTCAGACTACCACCAAAAAGAGCAAATCAGTTCTGCTGAACTTCATCTATTTGAACTAGATTTAGGCCATCAACTCAGTTCTCTGGACAATTTACAACTACCAACGTGTGGCTAATTTACAACTACCAACAACCTGACCTAGAGCTGAACCATCTAGAGATGAATAACTTGATAATCCTGAGCCAACCAGTGTTTCATTAAGATTCTTCTTATGCAAAGACAAGAATTAAATGGAGAGGGGAATCTAAACATGTTTTTAAAAATTACAAGTTATGACCACTAAAATAACAAATTCTTAACTATCTATTAAAAGTACAGGGCAATCACTGAAAATCCAAACAATTTTTCTGTACAAAGTCTTGTACAGGCCTAACTGCTTACTTGTGCAATCCTAAAAGTCTCATAAAACATTCATTAGCAAGTATTGTTATATGCCATAAAATTGACAGCTCTAGACACGGAAGACTACTCACGCTTGAAGGTCTCATTGCAGTATAAATTGCTGAAAACTGAATTCCTTGTTCTTGCAGAATCGTAGTCAGTCTTCCAATTATTTTGTCTGTAAATACACATTTATATAGCTTACCAAACTCTAAGTTGAGACTCTAAGCTATGATCATAATACAAGTAACAACAGAGATGAGTATTTAAACTTATAAGTACTCTTATTTAAAAACAGCTATGTGACCCCCAAGTTTCATGACAATTTAGAAGAACAGAAATATAAAGTGAGAACGAACGTCAAAATGTCATGAAGTCCAGGCTCCTTGGGACTCAGTAACCCAGACCATCCCTGACAGATGTTTTATGAACCTGTTCTTAAAAACCTCCAGTAATGGAAATTCCACAACCTCCCTTGGAAGCTTATTCCAGAGCTTAAATGTCTTTATAGTTAACAAGTTTTTCCTAACGTCTAACCTGAGTCTTCCTGGCTACAATTGATCCTTGTCCTCTATATCTATCAGATTTTCCACCCCTTCAGTCTTCTCAATTCTAAAGAGGTTTAGTTTTTTCAACCTTTCCTCACGTGTCAGGCTTTTGAAAGCTTTTACTATTTTCTTGCTCTTCCTTGGATTCTCTCCCACTTGTTTACATCTTTCTAAAAGTTGTGCGGTGCCCTGAATTGGACACCCTACTCCAGCTGAGTCTGGATTTACAAAAAGAGAGTAAGACAAATTTACTGCCCCAAGGAAGCTACAGTCCATACAAGACAAGATAACAAATCAGATAAGAGAGGGATTTTGAAATTGAGAAGGAAGTACAATAGAAAGTGTACTTATTTGTAAATATTTGATAGAGGGCGTTTTAGGAAAGTAAAGGAAGAGAAGATCACCAGCAAATGAGGAAAAGATCTCTAAAGCTGCTAGTTAAATTACAAGCTAATTGAAAATAAAGCTGAAGAATTAGTAAACCATGTTTATAAGGAGAAATTATATAATGTACTCCAGAACATTCAGAGCATATGATTATTGGAAACTTATTAAAGGATTATTATACCTAAAATACATGCACAATATGCACTATACTGAGAGTAAAAATTCTACTTGCCTTTGTGAATGTTGGGCCTGATCCTATTAAGTATGAAGTCAATGGAAGGTATTTATTGACGTCAATAGGAGCAAAAGCAGGCCATTAATTAGCACTGCTGCTAATATTTTTGGGTATGTCTACACTACAGTGCTATTTTGAATTAACTTAATTCAAATTAGTTAATTCGAATTAAACTAATTTGAAATAATGCATCTACACACAAAAACTAATTAGAAATAGAGTTTTTCTAATTCAAAATAGCACGTCCACATTGAGTGGACCCTGAATCGAAGGTAAGGCTGGCCGGAACCAGTGCCAAAAGGGCATCAGGGTTGGACTTAGTGTGTTGGGCTGCTGCTGCCTCAGGCTAGCCGAGGTCTGTGCTTAAAGGGACCCCACTCCCCATCCCGGACAGACAGTTCTCAGGTTTCTCTGCTTGCTGGTCTACCTCACTGAGGGACAGCAAAACATTTGTGTCTCGGAGTGCTCTGCTTGCCCTCACTCGGGACACCACGGCACTCTGCAACATGGAACCAGACCTGCCCCCGGGGACTCTGCTGCATCTCGTGGACATGTTGCCGGCAGCCTGGCTGCACTGTCTGCAGGCTGCCATCTGGGAGGACCATCGAGGGGATGTTAGGATCCAGGGGGCCCTGCGGGAGAGCTTCCACCCTGAGAAGCACTAACAGTCTCTCCGGTCTGCCCCACTGGGGGCTTGTGCCCCATTCCTCCCTCTTGTCCTTCCACTTACCCTTCCTTAGCCCCTACTTCCTGATGTCAAATAAAAGACATGTATTTTCAAAAATAGAAACTGTCTTTATTTAACACAACTGGGGAGGGGGAATGAAACTCTGGGGAGACGGGGGAAAGAAGGCAGGAAAGGGCAGGAGAGAGGGTGCGAGAGGGGAGGGAGAAAACTGGGAGGAGGGAGCTAGAAGGGGAAAGCAAGGGGAAGAAGGGAGAGGAGAAGCTCAGGGATTGGGGTGGGGGTCTCGCCGGGCCAACTGCCTCCCAGCACGGTGAGGGAGGGGGCCTCGGCATCCATGAGAGGATGGGGAGGAGGGTCCGGAGGTTGAGGTGGGGGGGTGTGGTCATTGGGAGGGGGGGGCAGCAGGCACTGGACCGGCACAGGGCACCATGCTCTGCATCAGGGCCTACAGATGACAGTTCCTTGCTCGGTCCTCCACAAGCTGCTCCCGGCGGAGCTGCAGGTCTTCCCGCATCCAGGCCTCGATGGTGCAGTGCAGGGCTCGCAGGGCCCCCAGGTACTGGTCCCAGTACTCCTGCTGTGTGGTGGTGGTCCAGAGCAGGCTGCTGGTGTGGGAGCATGTCCCGGGTGGGGTGATGTGACCTGCACAAGCAGCTGGTGCAGCTGTAGAGAAAGAAGAGGAGTGGTCAGTTCTCCCTGGGGACACAGTGGATGATGCCCAGCCCCGCCCTGCGACGTGATGGCGACTGTGCCCTGCACTGTAAGAGCCGCTGTGATTGCACAGAGGCTATGGTCAGGATGGCTGGCTCTCCCGGGGACTGGGAGCTGCCCCAAGACCACACCAATGCCCCTGTGCTGTGTATTGTGTGGCCGGGGTTGGGGGGAGATATCCCCTGCCTCTGTGTAGAGGGGGCGTCTTGCTGGGTCCCACCCCGGGTCGGGAGCGTGTCAGGTCTCTTCACACATGCATGCACCTCTTGAGCCACGGCACCTGGGTGTCACGCAGCTGGAGCCACCTGCCCAAGGGTGGCATGGTACATGCTCGCAAGTGCACAGGTGGCTGCGTGATCCATGGGAGGCACAGCCCACGCGCTCAGTCCCTGGTCTCCCTCCCCGGGCAGGGGACAGTGCTGGCACTTACCCGGTATGGCCTCCCTGGCCAACCCTGCTGACTTTGGTGAGCCACGGCACCTGGGTGTCACGCAGCTGGAGCCACCTGCCCAAGGGTGGCATGGTACATGCTCGCAAGTGCACAGGTGGCTGCGTGATCCATGGGAGGCACAGCCCACGCGCTCAGTCCCTGGTCTCCCTCCCCGGGCAGGGGACAGTGCTGGCACTTACCCGGTATGGCCTCCCTGGCCAACCCTGCTGACTTTGGTGCCGGAACAGCTGGCGGTGGCCCCTCTGGTGCACCCGGGTCAGGGCCTTCCGGTCCTGGCACGCTGCCTCCCAGGCTGGTGCAGACTGCCCTGCCCCACACGAGTTGGTCAAGGGCTGGGAAGTAGGGGCAGGGGGGGGGGGCGCGCGCTGCGTGGCGCACCCCTGGTGGCCCTGGCATACGCCTGCTGCAGCTGTTTAACTTTCAGGCGCACCTGCTCCTGGGTGCGCCTGTGGCCCTTTCAGGCCATGCTGGCCGCTATGCGGCAGTAGACAGCCACGTTCCTCCTCCTAGTGTGGAGATCATGGATGCTGGGGGCCTGCCCCCAAACCTCAATGAGGTCCATGACCTCTGCACTAGTCCAGGAGGGCGTGCGACATCACCTGGCTGGTCCCTGGGTCCTGGGGGACGGCTGCCTGTCACTGGCTATCTGGCTCATCCTGGGCCACTGGGTCAGGGGCAGCAACTGCTGGCAGGGCTGGCTCTGGCAAGTGCCGTCTGGCCAGAGTCTACCCCTTTAAGGGCCCTGGGGCTCGGGGAGAGGAGAGGAGAGGAGTTTCCCTGGTTTGGCCCAGAGTGGCCACCAGGGGGAACCTGGGAAGGGCTAGCCTCCAGCTAGTTCGAATTAAATGGCTACACAGCCCTTAATTCGAACTACTTAATTCGAACTAGGCGTTACTCCTTGTAGAATGAGGTTTACTTAGTTCGAATTAAGCGCTCTGCTAGTTCGAAATAAATTCGAAATAGCGGTTTGCATGTATAGTCGCTATTAAAGTTAATTCGAACTAACGGCTGTTAGTTTGAATTTACTTTGTAGTGTAGACATACCCTTTGAGAAAAGATGATAAGCCAAGTCATATAACCATATGGTTATACATGGAGGAATCATTACAAAGTACAGGTTGGACCTCTCTGGTCCAGCACCCTCAAGACCCGACCAATCCCTAATGAGGGAATTTGCCAAACCACAGAAGGTTCCCTGCTACCAGCTCCCTAGACTAGATTCCCTCCTTGCTGCCAGCTCCAATTCTTTGAGAAAAGATGATAAGCCAAGTCATATAACCATATGGTTATACATGGAGGAATCATTACAAAGTACAGGTTGGACCTCTCTGGTCCAGCACCCTCAAGACCCGACCAATCCCTAATGAGGGAATTTGCCAAACCACAGAAGGTTCCCTGCTACCAGCTCCCTAGACTAGATTCCCTCCTTGCTGCCAGCTCCAATTACCCGAGTTGGCAACCTGAACTGTCCTGGCCCCAGCCCTGCTATCAGAGCTGCTGTGTCTCTGGCCCCCTGAACCCTCTATCAGGGCTGCCGAGGCTGCTGTGTCTAGCTCTGGTCCCGCTACTATAGCTGCTGTTAATGCCACATCCCCAATGCCACATCCCCAGCCCTGTTATTGGGGCTGCCATGGCCCTTGCTGCACTACTGAGGCTCTGGCGCTGGTCCCAGCCCTGCCAGACTCAAAGCAGTCAGCCTTCTTGCCACTAGAGCTCCCAGCCTGGACTCCCTGGTCCAGGAACACCAATGGCCCTGCTGGAACATGAATGTTGCCAGATGACAGAGTCCTGGTTTTGGGAAGTCCAACCTTTACCTAGTTTTCCAAAGTCAGTGTCTTGTCATAGTTTTGCAGACATTTTCAGTAAGGAAATCCAAAGAATCCATCATTCATACAATTATACATAATTATGATAATTTACAGCTTATCTAAGATTTACCAACATGTAGCTGAAAATGCTAAGAAAAAACTACATAAGACAAAGGACACTAGTGGTGGATCTCAGTAAAAAATTAGCTTTTTTGGTGTGATTGACAGAGAAGTCAGTCAGTGGGCTAAAATTTCCTGTCTCAGTACCTTTGCTACTTCATATCTACTAAGCAAACCTTTCTGATAAATGAATATTTCACAACGCAGACAAGCAGGCTTCTCATATGGATTCAAAGTGGAGAAGCTACAGTAACTGAGTTTAATTTTCATTTATCAGCATTTGCTCCCATTTTATTACCTTTTTAATGTCTTCTATTTAGTGAAATTGTGCCTTCACACTTAGCAGCTTTGGTGAAAATGGAAATAACTGTTTTTCAGCTAGATTTTGTCAAGTTTGTACAGCTAAGACAATAATGATTTCAGTCAAGAATGGTGGCTTTTAAAAGGTGTTATTTTTAAAATGATGACCAAACTTTATCTCCTATAAACACACACATACACACACACACACACACACACACACACACTTTTACCAGCAACATTAATGACTATTTACATTCCATATATTTGTCTAGGAGATCTGAAAAATTACATCCTGATGATTTGTATGCAGTAGGCACAGGCAGCAGTTTCACTTTAAAAAACCCCAACAGTTTTAGTTCCCATTTCAGCAGGTATAATACTAGATAAATGCATGTGTATTTGTCTCATTTAAGATAATCAAAGAACTTCTGAGATAATAACCTATTATTTAGTATTTCACTGAACAAGGAGACAAGCGTAGCTATAGCTACCAAGAATATCAATGACTTTTGCCTTTCAGAAAAGTCTAGAGGCATTCTGTTTATTCAGAGATGTTGTCACGTGAACACACTCAGGCTAGAATGTTTGATAAAGACTACAATTCACCTTATACAAAAAAGAAAAAAAACGACACACAATATCCATTTCTTCTAAACAATCTTTATGAAAGTTTCTTAGATGATAAACTCTTCAAGGAGTGCCATGGAAGGCTTGGTGGGTAGAGGGGCCTGACACACTCCAGGCAGTACCGAGGACTGGCCCCTTTACCCACCACACCTTCCATGGCACTCGGCAGCAATTTAAAGGGCCCGTGGCTTCAGCTGCTGCCACAGTTGCTGCCCCAGTTGTGATAGCAATAGCTGAGAGCACCAGGCCCTTTTGAATCACTGGCCCTAGGGCAATTGTCCCTTTTGCCCCTCCCCTTGTCAGCAGATCTTTCTGTGTACGCCTCTGGGAGGAAAGTAAAGAATTTACTGTGACATGTATACAAGGCTTTTAGATAGAGTTGCTAAACACTGCTACAGGACTGCAGCGTTTTTTCTCATTTTACTGTTGGCGTTGTCAGAAACAATACACAATATTAATTGGGTTACAACATTCTTGTCATGTTACAAAGATGAGACAAATGGTATTTTTTGTTATTGGTCCAAACACCAAATAGTAGCTATCAATTGTCAGTAAATAATATATACAAATAATTAATGACCTTGCAAGGAACTGTGACCCAGAAGGAATAGCTGGCAAATAGGTAGCGTTGTGCAGCCAATACTAAACAGATTTGCTGGATCATGGAATGCATTATTTAGAAAGCTGTAATGGGGGTGCTTCATCTAAAGCAGTTGATGGAACAGCAAAGCAAGATTCCTATATGATTTTGGCCCATCAATTCTACAGACCTTCAGTGGGATTTCTCCCCCCCCCCCTTTTTTTTAAATCAGCAGTTCAGTAACTTTTCATTTTTCAAGTTTAAATTCACTGTTACTGACATTTTCAGGACTTATTCAGCAGCACTTTGGCATCACCCTGGCTGACAAAATAACCAAAAGAGCTGAAGTGGTGTCAAGAATTGAGGAGCCAGCATCTATTTCTACTTTTATATAGCTGATGGCACAACTGAAATGCAGGCCAAGGCCTAGCTTCTGCTGGTCATCTATGTAAAGCGAGCAGGAACTAGCCATTCCTTCCCTGGACCAGTGAATCCCTAATACACATCGACTGGGCATAGCCAACTCCTACATCACCTCTTCAGTTCCAGAATAGGAATGATTGCAAGGGGTGTAACCAGTGAGTGCTACACTCCGAGGCTGTGTCTACACTGGCATGAATTTCCGGAACTGCTTAAAACGGAATACTATTCCGTTTTCAGTTTTTCCGGAAAAGGAGCGTCTACATTGGCAGGCTGCTTTTCTGGAAAAGCCCTTTTTCCGGAAAAGTGTCTGTGGCCAATGTAGACGCGCTTTTCCGGAAAAAAGCCCCGATCGTCATTTTCGCGATCTGGGCTTTTTTCCGGAAAAGACTACTGTGCTGTCTACACTGGCCCTTTTCTGGAACAGTTTTCCAGAAAAAGGACTTTTGCCTGAGCGGGAGCAGCATAGTTTTTCCGGGAAAGCAGCTGATTTCTTACAGTAAATCGTCACTGCTTTTTCGGAAATTCAAGAGGCCAGTGTAGACAGTTCACAGCTTATTCCGGAAAAGCAGCCACTTTTTCGGAATAAGTGGCCCAGTGTAGACACAGCCTGACAGTCCCCACTTGGCAGATTGTCAAGCTCCTAGCTGTCTCATGTTTTGTGCTTTTTTCAGCTGGTGATGTTACCATAGCCTCTCAGAGAATTCAGAGACAGAGAGCCAGTTAATTTCTATTTAAAAACCAAATTCACTTTGTTCTATGAAAAAACAAAGCAACATTAACTCCAGAACTAAGGTGTTCTGGTTTTCAAATAGCTGCCCCTGATTGTAGTGCTGCAGTTCCTGGGTCACATATAATTGCAAGCACATTGTATAGCCACTTAGCCATCAACAGTAATGACTTGTTTGTGTGTGCAATTACTGGTGACCATGAGGTTGCCCAACAATTATTTATAAGTCTCATAATACAAATAATTTGGAGCCCAAGTTAAAATCCCGAGAAAAAGAAGACTGTCTATTTGCATGTAGTAATTTTTTACATCTAGCTTACATACCGTAGAAAAAAAAAGGTTTTAATACAAAAATGTGTGCACTGATGCACCCCTTAACATTCACTCTGTGTGTTGTCTAGAGAACCAATAAAAATTAAACTTAAAATCAAGCACTCTTTGAGCTGCCCCGTTATCGTTTTGCAGAGGCTAGAGAAGTATATTTCAATCTTTTCAATCACGTGTTTCATTTTACCTCACTCTTACCATGTTACTTCTCTCCCTCTTACTCTTACTTGAGCCAGACCCCACCTATTTATATGTGTGCACTGTAATGTACAAACATATGGATCGGCAGGGGGGGGGGCTAAAATTTATAGAAGTAAATGGGAGGCATTGTGAGCAGAGGATTATCACTAAAGGACAGATGGAATTCACAATATCGATCACAAAAAGACCAGTCGTTGTTAGGTCTTGATTCAGTGAAGTCGATTGGCAGACTTCCATTGATTCAGGTAGACATTAGATCAGATTGTCAGTGCCTAAATGCTAGGATTGGCTACAGACATGTAATATAGGTGCACACAGATTGATAGAATCCTAAAGAACTAGTAATAGTATCATATCAACTGTTGGGAGTCACTACAAGATATAGCATGCACTCAGGAAAACAGGGCAAAATCATGAAACACTGGATATAGTGATAGCTTGCTTACCATTTTCAGTGAAAGCCTTTGCAGTAGAAATTCCATTTAATCTATACAAAAAAAGAAAAGATAATTAAGATATTGCATAGACCAGAATAATTGTCAATAAATGTAATGAGTTAAAGATCATTTTGGAGAGCCCTTCCTTTGCTGCTCTGAAAAGCCACTACTCCTTCCTTATTCAATCCATCATTAAAATCCATTTTTTTCCTTCTGCAAAGCCCACAAGAAGCTAGTCAACTGAAAAACCCAAACTTCTTTGCTCCATCAAGCTTCTAAATTCCCCACACCAACAAGCCACACTATTGGAATTAACCTGATCCTACTCTCCTCTTGTCAGTAAATTAAATTTTATCCCTCTCATTATGTCATGTTTGACATAAGCTCCTTAGGACCTAAAACAAACTCCATAAGGAGTCTTTGTTATTTTGAAATATTACTTCAGTGGCAGCTGGAATCTTTTGGTCAGCCTAAGTGGCAGGCCAAGAGCTGAAATCACGGAGAAACTGACAAAGAGCTGAAATCACTAGGTTTGGCCCAGAACTAGACCTATCGTGGAAGCAGGAGCAGGTGGCCAGCAGGGTGGTTAGTGGAAGCGGCCACAGTCAGCAGGGCGGCTGGTGGGAGCGGATGGAGGAGGCTGGTAAAAGCAGCAAGAGGTCATCAGCGAGGCGGCTTGCAGGAGTAGGCAGCCAGCAAGGTGGCCAGCAGGATGGCTGGCGGGAGCAGCTGGCAGGAGCAATGGTGAGTGGCCAACAGAATGGGTGAGATGCTGCCTATCCCCACCCGCCCAAGGGTGGGAGATGAGCTCTGAAAATCATCCCTGAGCTCTTATCTGCCCTGACCAAGGGCAGCAACTGTGAGTGGGGTACAGAGAAAGTTTGGGCATGTGAATGAGACACTTACATTGCTGGACTTGTGGGCCTGAGAGGCAAAGGACACTGATCAATCCATTTGAGCTGGGATGTTTAATCGTAGTTTTGGTTATGAACTTTTTTTGTGGTGGTTTCCCAAATTAATGCCACGTTACTTCCCTCCCCTTTTGTTAAAGGTTTCTTTTCTATATTCAGACTCTGTGCTTATGAGTGGGGAATCATTGCCTCCCAGAGACACCCAGGGATGTTGTGTGAATTTCCCAGAGCTACTGGGTGGAGGCTTGACCCAGGTCTGTGTGAGATGGATGAAAAGGAACCCCTAGATATTGAACTCAGCCATGGCTGCTGCCGACGCTACCTGGCAGAAGGGTTACATATAGAATGCTGATAAGGTGGTTCCTGAGCTTCTTTACAAGAGTGTGGCATAATCTCTGGCTGTAGTCTTTGGGATAGTGCTTGATGGTTTATGTTGCAAGCAGGACAGGTATCTTCACTGTGCCTAAACATGCTTCTTCTAGGGTCCCTAATGCTGCTGGCAGTGTTCCTCAGTGTAGCAAACTGAATTATAGCTGCTTCCTTTGCAGGTCCACTAAGGTGAGAAGGGACTACCCAGCATCTGCTTCCCCCCTTTGCACAGGGCAGGCAAAAATTGGCCTTTAGGGCACAGCAATAAGCAAAATTCCACATCACAAATAAGAGAATCATAGAAGCACAGAATCACAGGGTTGGAAGAGATCTCAGGAGGTTATTGTCCCAAAGCAGGACTAAGCCCAACTAAATCATCCCAGCCAGGGCTTTGTCAAGCCAGGACTTAAAAACCTCTAGGGATGGAGATTCTGCCACCTCCCTAGGTAACTCATTCCAGTGCTTCTCCACCCTCCTAGTGAAATAGTCCTAATATCCAACCTAGACCTTTCCCACTGTAACATGAGACCATTGCTCCTCGTTCTGTCATCTGTCACTACTGAGAACAATCTCTCTCATCCTCTTTGGAACCCCCCTTCAAGTAATTAAAGGCTGCTATCAAATCCCCCCTCACTCTTCTCTTCTGTAGACAAAATAAGCCCAAATCCCTCATCCTCTGCTCATAAATCATGTGTTCCAACCCTTTAATCATTTTTGTTGCCCTCCACTGGACCTTCTCCAGTGCGTCCACATCCTTTCTGTAATGGGAGAAAGGAGTATTCGACACAATGCTCTAGATGTGAGCTTACTAGCTCTGAATAAAGGGGAATAATCATTTCTCTAGATCTGCTGGCAATGCTCCTCCTAATGCACCCTACTGTGCCATTAGCTTTCTTGAATAATTTTAAAGTTGCTTCATGGTGACCTCAATGTCTTGCAGTGTGGTTTGCAACATTTTAGCATCAGCTTCAAACTATTTGCTTTATCGTACGCAATTCCAAGAGCTATAAATGTAAAAGAAAATGCTCAAAGGTTTGAAAATATTACAGGGTAGATTCCAATGAGCTCAGATGCAAAATAGCCACTCCCACAAAATACATTTCAATGTAACATTTGATTTTTCACCTGAACAATTTACTTTTATGTTTAAAAGCATTTCCATGTGCGCTTTCCTCTCATGACATCAATGACAGAAATTTTTACAGTAATTTATCACTGCTGACACTTGAAAGAGAATGGAAATGCTAGTTAGAGACATGTCAAGTGGTGGTGAAGTTGACAATAGAAAAAGTTATCAGATTAAATAAATAATCAAAGTCCTGTCAAACTCAATGATTTGTATAACTATATTGAAATAAAGCACCTAACAGGAATGCTGACAGCACCTGATAAGACTGTCCATAAACTTTGTGGCTTTTTGTTGAAACAGAAACATAGAAATATATAGATTGCTATTCCAGCTCAAGAGAATGGTCCAGAATAGTTCAGTATCCTATTTCCAATAGCGCTCTTTACCAGAGAGAGATGTAAAACTATCCAGAACTATCAATCATGCAATAACATGCCTATGAAGAGACTTTCCCTAGTCCCAGCAGAGAAAAGATGGCGTATACAAGTACGAATAATTGTATAATTTCCTTTAACATTGTATAATTTATATTTTATTTAATATTTATAATTTCATTATCCTGTCTAATGTATCTAAGATTGATCTCAACATCCCATTCTTTTTATAATTCTGCTAGGTTCTTAAACATTAGAAAACCTTATGGCAGTGAATCCAAAGTTAGTTATGTGTTGCATAAAATAATTCCATTTATAAGTTATAAAAATATTACCATTTAATTTCATTAGATGTTCCAGGTGACACAGATAAAACTGGACTGACCTTCTCTACACCATTCAAATATTGTCATTGGTAAATGTGAAAATACAGAGTGTATATTTAGGGCAACATATTTGATAGCTTTCTTACTCCTGTAATCCCATGTTCATAGGCACAGGTTTTTTTAAAGTTTTTGAGCATTGCTGTGCTCAACATTATAACACCTAACTGATTTAGGATCCTAAATCCAATTTTCAAAAGGGATTCAAGCACTCAATCGTTTCATTGCCAGTGTGATTCAGACTCCTAAGTGCCTAAATCCTTTTTGAAAATAACATTTAGGATTCCAAAGGTGTTGCAACACAGAGCACAGTAATGTCTAAATACATTTAAAAATCTGGGTCTTAATACACATAGGGTATGTCTAGACTACAGGTTTTTTCGAAAAAAGTGGTCTTTTCAAAAAAACATTCTCTGTGTCTCGACTGCTGCTGCATTCTTTCAAAAGTAAATCAAAAGAACACGGCAGTTTTTTCACCACAGAAAACCTCGTTTTACGAGGCACAACGCCTTTTTTCGAAAGTGCTCTTTCGAAAATGTCACTATGTAATGCAAACTGTGCTTTTTCAAAAGAGAGCATCCAGACTGCCGGGGTGCTCTCTTTCGAAAAACGGGCTTGCTTTTTCAAAAGTACTGGTTGTAGTCTAGATGCTCTTTTTCGAAAGAGGCTTTTGTGAAAACATTTTTCGAAAAAGCCTCTTTCGAAAGAGGCTTGAAGTCTAGACGTAGCCATGGTTAATGCACATGGCATTTGCAAGAAGGCTTGAAAATCCTGTATTCAGAAATGTTCATTCAATTCTTTACTGCAACACACACAATACCTTTTGATTGGCTGTAGCTTTACCACAAATATGTTGGGCTTGGATGTGTCCACTTCCAGCTTAGATATCTCAACCTCATCTAAGTTGGTTAGTTTCCAATCCACTGATTCTTGAAGATAGTCCAGAAGATGACTGATTGCCTGACTGTCAACCGCTGATAAAACTAAGGAGGAGGATGAAGAATGAAGGAGCTCCTGTAATAAGTATGTGCAGAATTTAATCATCTGTTTCATAGTTAAGACACAAGCGGATTGCTTTTTTATATTCTTGAGTATAATATTCAAATCTGCACACAAATCCAACAATGCAATTTCAAAATTATGAAAAGTAATAAGCATTGGTAGAAATGCCTGAAAAAAAACTCAGTATCATTAAAGGTTTGCAAAGCTTATTTTTTCACCATATTATAAAATTACTGAAATATCAACAATTCAAAATTTTGATCTGCTTTTTTGTTGAATATTTTCACAAAGATAATTCTGCATTTTTCAACCAGTAATGTATTAATATTTTTGCCAACAGGCTTTTTTATTTAGCACATACTCCATGTGAAGTCTTGTAAGCATGCTACTCAAAGGGGATACACTGACAGCTCTTGGCCTGTATCCTCAGAATATATACAGTGCTAGTTTCCTCACACTTTTATACCAACGTGTCTTGACACAGTTATTACATCTTTATGGCTACTACATCATGAAGAAGTGCTTTGACGCTACCAGTCTAATACATGAAGGGCATCAAACTACTGTCAGACAGGAAATTAATGCTCTTTTAACTGAAATTAATCAATATGGTAAGCACAAGTTACAACAGAACAATTCAATATCAGACAGCCACCTTATCATGTCTATACACTTTGCATCTTGAATATTCATTCTTGTAACAAATAATTTGATTAATTATGCCTATTTTGGGATCACAGAATGTCATGTTGATGGTATTTAATTTTTTAAATGAGTATTATCAAAATTACTTCTTGGTTTGCTACTCAAAACCTGAATCACACAATTTGAAATGAGCTGGCTCAGTTGGGATTGATCAAATGGTATAATATCTGCTATTTGATCAGGTGAGCATAATTTTTTTTCTTGGGCTTCTAAGCCAAACTCTCATGGAAAGTGATTTTTTTTAATCTCTTTCTGCAAGAATGAATAAATAATGCTAATGTTCTGAAGATGCTGTTGCTGTGTCACTGCAAACCTATCCTGTCTCAAGCTCTCAAATGGAGATTCTGACAAGTGCTAAGCTCATTCAGGCCTGATGGGAACTGGAGGGGACTGCCATGCAGAAATCCAGTTCTAGAATGGCTGAACCATGTGGGTACTTCTGGAGAAGTGTAATGATAGCAGAAGGGTGCACTTGAAAGGGACTAGTTAGGTCTAATAGTGATAGAGATGCAGCCGTGTTAGTCTGGGTCTTGCTGAAACAAAAGACAGGACTATGCAGCACTTTAAAGACTAACAAAATGGTTTATTAGATGATGAACTTTCGTGGGCCAGACCCACTTCCTCAGATCTATATGTGGAAGAAAATTGGCACAACCATATATACACCAAAGTGATACAATAAAAAAAAAAGAGAACACATAAAAATATTAAACCTGATTCGTCATTTTTATATGTGTTCCCTTTTTTTGATTGTATCACTTTGGTATATATGGTTGTGCCAATTTTCTTCCACATATAGATCTGAGGAAGTGGGTCTGGCCCACGAAAGCTCGTCACCTAATAAACCATCTTGTTAGTCTTTAAAGTGCTGCATAGTCCTGTCTTTTGTTTTAACTAGGTCTAAGACAATGCCATGTGACTGTGACACCTGGTTCATAATATGTTCTCTTTTGCATTTCTAAATTTAGGGCTAATTGCCACTATATCTAGTGTTCTGTTCTTAAACTTGTTACAAATTCTCTCTTAATTAGTGCAAGTGTTATGGGGTTGCTAAAGCTTTTCTCCTCCTACTCCTTCTTCCTGTTCTCTATCACATTACATATGAACATAAAAAGGGCCGTACTGGGTCAGACCAAATGTCCATCTAGCCCTGTATCCTGTCTGCCGAGAGTGGCCAGCACCAGGTGCCCCAGAGAGGGTGGACCGAAGACAATGATCAAGCGATTTGTCTCCTGCCATCCCTCTCCAGCCTCTGACAAACACAGGCCAAGGACACCATTTTATCCCCTAGCTAATAGCCTTTTATGGACCTAACCTCCATGAAATTATCTAGTTTCTCTTTAAATTCTATTATAGTCCTAGCCTTCACAGCCTCCTCTGGCAAGGAGTTCCATAGGTTGACTACACACTATGTGAAGAGGAACTTTCTTTTATTAGTTTTAAACCAGCTACCCATTAATTTCATTTGGTGTCCACTAGTTCTTCTATTTAGGGAGCTAAAAAAATAACTTTTCTTTATTGGCCCTCTCCACACCACTCATGATTTTATATACCTCTATCATATCCTCCCTCAGTCTCCTCTTTTCTAAACTGAAAAGTCCCAGTCGCTTTAACCTCTCCTCATATGGGACCCGTTCCAAACCCCTAATCATTTTAGTTGCCCTTTTCTGAACCCTTTCCAAGGCCAAAATATCTTTTTTGAGGTGAGGAGACCACATCTGTACACAGTATTCAAGATGTGGGCGTACCATAGTTTTATACAGGGGCAGTAAGATATTCTGGGTCTTATTTTCTATCCCTTTCCTAATAATTCCTAGCATCCTATTTGCCTTTTTGACCACCACTGCACACTGTGTGGAAGTTTTCAGAGAACTGTCCACGATAACTCCAAGATCTCTTTCCTGATTTGTCGTAGCCAAATTAGCCCCCATCATACTGTACGTATAGTTGGGGTTATTTTTCCCGATGTGCATTACTTTACACTTATCCACATTAAATTTCATTTGCCATTTTGTTGCCCAATCACTCAGTTTGGTGAGATCTTCTTGGAGTCCCTCACAGTCTGCTTCTGTCTTGACTATCCTAAACAGTTTGGTATCATCTGCAAACTTTACTACCTCACTGCTTACCCCTTTCTCCAGATCATTTATGAATAAGTTGAAAAGGATTGGTCCCAGGACTGACCCTTGGGGTACACCATCCCTTTCCATTCAGAAAATTTACCTTTTATTCCTACCCTTTGTTTCCTGTCTTTTAACCAGTTCTCAATCCAAGAAAGGACCTTCCCTCTTATCCCATGGCCATGTAATTTACACAAGAGCCTTTGGTGAGGGACCTTGTCAAAGGCTTTCTGAAAATCCAAGTATACTATATCTACTGGATCCCCCTTGTCCGCATGTTTGTTAACCCCTTCAAAGAACTCTAATAGATTAGTAAGACAGGATTTCCCTTTACAGAAACCATGTTGACTTTTGTCCAACAAATTATGTTCTTCTACATGCTTCACAATTTTATTCTTTACTATTGTTTCGACTAATTTGCCCGGTACTGAAGTTAGACTTACCGGTCTGTAATTGCCAGGATCGCCCCTTTTTAAATATTGGTGTCACGTTGGCTACCTTCCAGTCATTAGGTACAGAAGCTGATTTAAAGGATAGGTTAAAATCCACAGATAATAGCTCAGCAATTTCCCATTTAAGTTCTTTTAGAACCCTTGGATGAATGCCATCCGGTCCCGGAGATTTGTTAACATTAAGTTTTTCTATTTGTTCCAAAACCTCCTCTAATGACACTTCAATCCGGGACAGTTCCTCAGATTCATCACCCACAAAGGACGGTGCAGATTCAGGAATCTCCCCAACATCCTCAGCCGTGAAGACTGAAGCAAAGAAATCATTTAGTTTCTCCGCAATGGCTTTATCGTCCTTGATTGCTCCTTTTATAGCTCGATCATCTAGGGGACCCACAGGCTTTTTAGCAGGCTTCCTGCTTCTAATATACTTAAAAAACATTTTGTTATTTCTTTTTGACTTTTTGGCTAGCTGTTCCTCAAAATCTTTTTTTGCTTTTCTTATGACATTTTTACACTTGATTTGACAGTGTTTATGTTCCTTTCTATTTATCTCACTAGGATTGGACTTCCACTTCTTAAAAGATACCTTTTTGTCCCTCACTGCTTCTTTTACATGGTGGTTAAGCCACGGTGACTCTTTTTTAGGTCTCTTGCTATGTTTTTTAATTTGGGGTATACATTTAAGTTGGGCCTCTATTATGGTGTCTTTAAAAAGTTTCCATGCAGCTTTCAGGGATTTGGCTCTAGTCACTGTGCCTTTTAATTTCTGTTTAACTAACCTCCTCATTTTTGTGTAATTCCCCTTTTTGAAATTAAATGCCAGGGTGCTGGACTGCTGAGGTGTTCTTCCCACCACAGGAATGTTGAATGTTATTATATTATGGTCACTATTCCCAAGCGGTCCTGTAACGGTTATATCCTGGACCTGATCCTGCACTCCACTCAGGACTAAATCGAGAATTGCCTCTCCCCTTGTGGGTTCCTGCACTAGCTGCTCCAAGAAGCAGTCATTTAAGCCATTGAGAAATTTTATCTCCGCTTCTCTTCCTGAGGTGACATGTATCCAGTCAATATGGGGGTAATTAAAACCCCCCATTATTATAGAGTTCTCTATTTTGGTAGCCTCTCTAATCTCCCTCAGCATTTCTATGTCAGTATCGCTGTCCTGGTCAGGTGGTCAGTAATATATCCCTACTGCTAATTTCTTATTATTGGAGCATGGAATTACTATCCATAGCAATTCTATGGAACATGTTGATTCACTTAATATTTTTATTTCATTTGATTCTACATTATCTTTCACATACAGCGCCACTCCGCCACCCACCCGGCCTGCTCTATCCTTTCTATATATTTTATATCCCGGTATGATTGTGTCCCACAGATTTTCCTCATTCCACCAGGTTTCACTGATGCCTATTATGTCAATCTCCTCATTTAATACGAGGTACTCTAGTTCACCCATCTTATTAGTCAGACTCCTAGCATTTGTGGACAAGCACTTTAAAAATTTGCCACTGGTTATTGTCTGCCCTTCCCTGATGCATTGGATTCCTTTGTATGCGGTTGTTTGTCAGCTCTGGCCAATGGTTTGCCCTCTCCCCTCCTCTCTTTCCGACTACAGCTTAGAGAATCTCTATCAATGGATTCTCCTCTAAGAGAAGTCTCCCTCCGATTTACGTGCATCTCCACACCAATCGGCTTTCCTCCATCTCTTAGTTTAAAAACTGCTCTA